CCCGACACCAAAACTATAGGTTAATTTATGTGTACGAACTTCAACGTCCACATATCATTAGTAAGCCCTATTTTCTGATTGGTTGCCGAGTTTCATTCGGATTGGTTCGGAAATAGAGCAGACCGAGGTTGACCAGGTTAGCCACCTACGCTTCGGCCGGGTCCGCAAAATCGCCCGTAAATGGGGACCAAATTTTCGCTCCGCGGGAAAGCCCGATTGGCATTGCTAGTTTATCCAACAGTGATGGTAAATAGAACGTTGTCCCTACCTGGGTTGAGCTGCGAGGGCACCAGGCTGTACATTTGCTTCAACAGGTAGTGTGGGTATCCATTGTTTAGTGTAGTGTAAGTTAAAGAGTTTTTTGGCACTTGCAACACAATAATAAGGTCATATAACGGCCTAAGATTAGAGCTGTTACAAAAGAGTAACAAACACAAAAAAGAAGGAGGAGAGACCAGGACATTAGAAGTTTGATAGGAAAGAAGGAGCAAACCACACCACAGGAGCACCCACGTAGGTTTATCCAACAGCGATGGGAAATAGAACGTTGTCCCTACCTGGGTTGAGCCGTGCCGGCACCAGGACGTACATCCTCTTCAGCAGGTTCTCCAGCTCGGAGGAGACGGTGCTGGTCTTGTAACTGTCAAACTCAGGCACCTGGGCCGGGACAAAGTGCTGGAACACCGGGCCCGCCCTCGCCCAGGTCAGGGGCACCGGGCTGCTGTTGTGCTCACTCAGGTGTCTGGGGACATGGCGACCATTGTTGTAACTGTACGGTGTAATTTGTCTCTATTTCAATGTAGTTTTAGTAAGAGTTTTACGGCATTTGCAACACAATAAGGTCATATAAGTGTCGAAGATTAGAGGTGTTTTAGTTAGTTTTAGTAAAAGTTTTACTGCGCTCGCAACTGCATAAGGTCATAGAAGTGCAGAAGATTGGAGGTGTTACAAGAAAGTAACAAACACACAAAAAGAAGGACTTAAGAAAGAGACGATAGATTATTTTAACAAGATAGTCCACTCCTCTCTTTGAGCCAATTAAAAAAGTGTCCTCAAAATCCAATGGCGCCCTCTTCGAAAAAGTGCGGACTTTGCAAACAGAGTTACCCTACTTGTGTGAAAAACAATGAAAGCAAAACTAACAAACTGTGCTATTCCTATTCTTCTTCCGCAGAAACAAAAAGGACCTTCAAATCAAAGACTGCAGCGCCATCTGAACCAATGCACGGACTTCAGCGGACACTTTTTTGGCCGAGTGAACAATCTAGTTATGTACTATCTTTGATGAGACTGAGTATTGGTTTTAGTAGAGGTTTTACGGTGCTCGCAACTGCATAAGATCATACGAGCGCCAGAAGATTAGAGGTGTTACAAGAGAATAACAAACAAAAAAGAAGGAGGAGAGATAAAGATGATAGTTGTTCGATAGGAAAGAAGGAGCAAACCACACCAGAGCACCCGCCAACCACCCACTGAAGAGACTGAAAAGAAGAAGAAGAAGAAGAGACTTACTTGGCCTTCCCCCTCTTGTTGGGGTGCCCATACAGACAGAAGACGCACTGCTCAAAGGCCGTAGACAGAGCCTCCTTGTCTTCCTCCTCCTCTTCTTCTTCCTCCTCCCTCCCCTTCAGCTTCTCGTACAACACAGACATGGTGAACAAAAGCAGCTCTCCGTTCTCGTGGGTGCACCAGCCATGTCTGAAAACACACAAATAACACAGAGATAACAATCTGACACACTGGCTCTTGTTTGTCTCAGTATTCATCATCATCAATGCCATTCACCCCTGGCAGGGTATAGGCCACATTCCCACATACAAGCTCCTTCCATTTATCTCTGTCCTCGGCCGTCCTTCCAAGCTCGTTCCAAGCGAGCTTCATCTCATGTCCCTTTCCACACATCTCCTCCATGTTCCCGGTGGCCTACCCCTGCCCCTTGAGGGTTCCACTGCAGCGACTGTTTTGTGATGTTTCCGCTGGCTTTCTGAAGGTGTGTCTCATACATCGCCACTTTCTTAGTCCCTTTTCTACTTCTATATCCTTTAGTACTGTCCAATCCCTCAGCTCTTCATTTCTCATTCTATCCTGCGACTTAATTTTTAGGACACTCCTCCTCTTGTTTGTTTTAGAACTGGGAAAGAGCAATAACACACTGACACACTGGTTCTTGTTTGTCTTAGCATTTGGAAAAGAGAAATAACACACTGGCTCTTGTTTTTCGTCTCAGTATTGGTAAAGAGAAATAATACGCAGACACAATAAGGGTCACATAGTGCAGGGGAAAAAGTAAGACCGACAGTTCTGTTTCAGTTTTAGTTAGTGTTTTATGGTATTTTTAAGATTTAAGTAAGAGTTTTATGACACTTGCAATTTCAGTTAGGCTATATAAGCACTGAAGATAAGAGGTGTTGATAGAGAATAACATGCAAACAAAAGAAGGTTTAGTTTTTGTACAGGTTTTACAGCGCTTGTAACTGCATAAGGTCATATGAGCGCCAGAAGATTAGAGGTGTCACAAGAGAGTAACAAACATAAAAAAGAAGAAGGGGAGATAGGGACGATAGATGTTTGATAGGAAAGAAGAAGCAAACCACACCAGAGCACCTGTCAATCCTTCACCTTAAAAACAGACAAACAAATAAGACACATTGGCTTTTATTTCTTTTAGTACTTGTATAGAGAAACTTTTAGTTTTAGTGAGGTTTTTGCGGCTCTCGCTACTGCATAGGGTCATATGAGCGCCAAGGGGTGGATGTGAACAGACAAGTCCAAACGGGGAATCAGGCTTACTCCGCTCACCCCTCTAGCCTACACAGCACAAAGTCTGTTTCTACTATCAAGGCATCCAGGAAATAGCAGTTCACAAGAGAGAGACAGACATACAAAAGTAGGGGAGGAAAAATGACGATAGTAAGGATGAGGAAAAAATAAGCAGCAGTTCCCCCTATGTTGTTTCAGCACAGTATGAGCATGACATCGATAAGTCAGCCCATTTACAATTCTACTGTGCATATGAACTAGTCAATATCCCCCCCCCACCTTGGGAATGGCCTAAAGACACTTCAGTCAGTAGCATTGGCCTCCGTGGGTGTGTGTGTGTGTGCGTGTGTGTGTGTGTATGTGTGTGTGTGTATAGAGAAACACATTGACACAATGACAGTCTCGTTGTAGAAGAAACAAAACATACTTCCCCAGATACTGGTGAGCGTCAATCAGCATGAGGAGGGAGGGGCTGAGTTCCTCGCTGTCTTGCTCACAGCTCTCCCTTCTCGCCGACTCCGTCTTCTCACAGGACGCTCGCGTCTCTTCAAACTTGATGACCCTGAAACCGACAAAACTGCAGTTGAAATAATAATGCACAGATACCAATCTCTAATTTTGTTTTGAGTAAAGAGAAGCTCATTGACAAAGTAACCGTGATTTAGTGTAGCGGTAAAGTAAGATGGATAGAAAGAAAAAAAAAAACCAAAGAGAGAGGGAGAGAGAGAGAAGGGGGGAAGAGAGAGAGAGAGAGAGAGAGAGAGAGAGAGAGAGAGAGAGAGAGAGAGAGAAAGAGAGAGAGAGAGAGTAGTCAATAGAAGTAGGACCAACAGAAGACACCCTCCAACCACTCACATTTCCAACTGCTTCACCTTGTGCGCAACATCTGAGGTCACCATGGGGTTGTAGGAACAGCCAGCCGTTTGATGGGAAAGAAGGAACAAACCACACGAGAGCACCCGCCAACCACCCACAGTATACAGCCAGCCGTTTGATGGGAAAGAAGGAACACACCACACCAGAGCACCCGCCAACCACCCACAGTATACAGCCAGCCGTTTGATGGGAAAGAAGGAACAAACCACACCAGAGTGCCCGCCAACCACCCAAATAATTTACCTGCATACATGGTGAATTCCAATGTCAAGTCTGTGCTCCTCTACGGCTGCAAAACTTGGAAGAAAACACAGACAGTGCAGAATAAAGTCCAGACTTTCATCAACAGATGTATGAGGAGTATCTTAAGAAATGAGGAGTACCCTAAGAAATGAGGAGTATCCTAAGAAATGAGGAGTACCCTAAGAAATGAGGAGTATCCTAAGAAATGAGTAGTATCCTAAGAATTACGTGTCAGGATAAAATAAGAAATGAAGAGCTGTGGGAAAGGACAGGACAAAAGGATATAGAAGTAGAAATAGGATTAAGAAAGTGGCGATGGATAGAACACACCTTCAGAAAACCCAGCGGAAACATCACAAGACAGTCGCTGCAGTGGAACCCACAGGGAGCACGAGGCAGGGGTAGGCCACGGGAAACATGGAGAAGATATGTGGAAAGGGACATGAGAGAGATGAAGCTCACTTGGAACGAGCTAAAGGATGTCCCAGGACAGAGATAAATGGACGGAGCTTGTATGTGGCCTATACCGTACCAGGGGTGAAAGGCATTGATGATACGTGCTGTACTAATGGCAAAACCATGCAGGGAACTACTTGCCTGTACAAGATCTTCCAGGGCAGCACGGAGCTGATGGGCATCTCTGTGACCGAGTCGGCCACGTCCAGGATAATCTCTATGACAGACAGGATGTTCTCCACCAGACGGACCGTGCACTTCTCACTCAATGCCTTCAGCAAGTCTCCGTCCTCACTGAGAACCCTGGACAGTGGAACAAACATTACAAATCTTTTAAATAATAATAATAGTAATAATAATACTAATGACTGCAGTTATATAATGCAAATCCACGCTCTGCAGGAAGCTGTATGTGCTTTTAGTTTTAGTAGAGGTTTTACAGTGCTCGCAGTTGCATAAGGTCATATGAGCTCCAGAAGATTAGAGGTGTTACAAGAGAGTAACAAACATAAAAAAGAAGGAGGAGAGATCAGGACGATAGATGTTTGATAGGAAAGAAGGAGCGAACCACACCTGGGCACCCACTGAGAGACATAGCTAGAGATTGAGAAAGAGACATATAGAAAGACAAACATTGAGAGATAGAGAGATAACCACAGAGAGAAAGAGACAGAGACATAATCACAGAAAGAAACAACAACAAAACAGTAAGTCAAAAAGAAATGAAACAAGCTTCTCCCTCTTTTTAAGGTCATATAAGAGCCGAAGAATAGACGTGTTACAAGAGAGTATCATACACAAAAAAAGAAGAGTTAAGGACGACAGCTGTTTGATATAGGAAAGAAGGAGCAAACCACACCAGAGCACCCACCAACCACCCACTGAGAGACATTGAGAGATAGAGAGACAACCACAGAGAGAAAGAGAAAGACAGAGACATAATCACAGAAAGAAACAACAACAACAACAACAAAGAAACAGAAAGTCAAAAAGAAATGAAACGAGCTTCTCCCTCTTTTTTAAGGTCATATAAGTGCCGAAGAATAGACGTGTTACAAGAGAGTAACATACACAAAAATGAAGGAGGAGAGATAAGGACAATAGATTATGTTTGATAGGAAAGAAGGGAGCAGCAGCAAACCACACCAGAGCACCCGCCAACCACCAACGATAGAGAAAGAGACATAATAGACAGACAAACATTGAGCGATAGCGAGATAACCACAGAGAGAAAGAGAAAGATAGACACATAAACACAGAGAGAAACAAAAAAAACAACAGCCCCAAAACAAAACTAAGTGAAAAAGAAACGAAACAAGCTTCTCCCTCTCCACTCCGTACCTGTCCAAACTGGCAAAAAGCGAGACGAGGGTGTCCGCCCAGTCCTGCCGGAGCTGCGGTGTGGGGACTCGCTTGTAGTGCTGCAGGGCCTCGTGGAGAGACACCTCGGCCCATACCACGCACTCGTCCTGGCGACCCAGGCTGTGCAGCGAGTCCTGGAGCAGACGCAGTTGGGACGGCCGCTCGGGCAGACTTGTCACCCGTGGGCTGCTCACTCCCTGGATTGTGTGGTTAGTTGTAGTAGTTTAGTCAAGAGTTTTACAGCAATTGTAACACACATAGCTCATATTATTAGTTCAGTTTTTAGTTTTTATAAAGATTTTAAGATATTCAGCATAAAATATCATAATGATATTCAACATCAGTGGAAACACCCTCAGCGACATTTTGGAGAGAGCAACAGAGGATCAATGGACATGTCCGGAATGCAGGGATGTTGCTTCCTGAAACATTGAACAATGAACAATATGATATTGAGCACCAATAGGCTAAACAAGTGTCAAACATTATAGAGGTGGTACTTCAACACCCAGAAACATTCTCAACTTCCCAGGAAGCATATAGTGCAAGCTGCAATTTTACAGAAGGAGCAAACTACACCAGAGCACCTCGCGACCTCGGTGCTTTCTTGTCGTATCTCCATTTTTAATAACAGTGAAAACAGTTCATAACAAAGAGTGAGCTTAAGAAGTGACATTTTCACTGTTTAAAAAAATGGAGATACGACAAGAAAGCACTGAGGTCGCCACCTACTAACCACCCACCCCCTAGACACGGACAACCAGTTAGATTATCGAGTACAGAGACTGATATTTTCGTTGTTGTTGTTGTTGAGAAGGCAATGATTTGACTGATGAGAGGTCTGTGCAAAGTCTCGTGGAGAGACACATCGGCCCACACCACGCACTCGTTCTGCCGATCCAGGCTGTGCAGTGAGTCCTGGAGCAGAAGCAGTTGGGACGGCCGCTCGGGCAGACTTGTCACCCGTGGGCTGCTCACTCCCTGGATTGTGTGGTCAGTTGTAGTAGTTTAGTTGTAGTAAGTGTTTTACAGCACTTGCAACACAATAAGGTCATATAAATGCTGAAGAATAGATGTGCTACAAGAGAGCAACATACACAAGAAAGAAGGAGGAGAGATTAGGACGATAGATGTTTGATAGGAAAGAAGGAGCAAACCACACCAGAGCACCTGCCCCCCCTTGACCACAAACCTGTTTACTGAAGGTGGACATGAGGTTATTGACCACTTCCTCATGTCTGCCCAGCTCGTGCAGTCTCTGCGTCTCCTCCAGGTTCTTGCACCGCTGCAGACTATCCAGCTGTTTGCTCACTTCTCGCTCGGAGATGACGCCACTGAACTTGACATTGGGGAGAGTCACACTCACTGAGGACACCAGGGCAGGGTCAGTGAAAGCTTTAGTTTAGTTTAGTTTAGTTTTAGTAAGTGTTTTACGGCGGCACTTGCAACACAAAAAGGTCATACAAGTGCAGAAGAATAGATGCGTTACATGAGAGTAAAAAACACAAAAAAGAAGGAGGAGAGATAACGATGATAGACGTTTGATAGGAAAAAAGGAGCAAACCAAACCAGAGCACCGGCCAACCACCCACACTGCAAGCTTTATGACACGTTAGCTGTTACAGTAAATGTAGTACT